CATCTTAATAAGATAAATTGTCAAGTGTGAGTTATGAAGGTAGTGCGCTATTAATTGGAACAGTGACCATTGTGCCACTGTTCACCAACTTTTTTACTTAAATGTCACGCGAACAGTATTATTTTCCAATCTGCCACGGGGCAAGTTCGCTTCTGACACAAGCGTCCTCGGTTTGCTGATGTGTCAACTTCCTGGTGGTGTCAGAGTTCGCTTCTGACACAGGCGACCTCGGTTCCAACAATATTTTAATCAAGTTCGCCTACATGGTAGGCGAACTTCATTTTTTTGAATTTTTTTTTTTAAATTTAATACTTGTTATCCACTAAAAATGTGACACGTCAGCAAACCGAGGTCGCTTGTGTCAGAAGCGAACTTGCCCCCGTGGTAGATTGGGAAATAACACTGTTCGCGTGGCATTTAGGTAAAAAAGTTGGTGAACAGTGGCATTTTGGTCAGTATCCCGCTATTAATTCAGTAAATTCCCTTCCATATATTACAACACCAGCAATCCATCATATAACATTCATAATATAGGAAATCTAATGGTTCACATAATGTCTTATAAAGTCTTCCTTGTCAAAATTCATAATGTGTATACAATCATAAAATAACAAGGAAACATAATGTATATCAGAAACACATAGGTGAGCTCAGAGTGTCACACATCAATAATCCTTAATACAACCAAGGCCTATACTTTCAACATGTTTTTTAAATAGCTTTGGTTGTAACCGTTTTGTCCAAGGTTATGCCATCATGTGCTCGATTCGGATGTGCATAATTGACACTCTCTGTTTCTGAACCTCCTCTTTAACAAAAAAATACTTACACTCTGAGCGCACCTATGTGTTTTTGACATACATTATGTTTCCTAGTTATTTTATGGTTGTATACACATTATGAATTTTGACAAGGAAGTCTTTGTAAGACATTATGTGGACCATTATGTTTCCTATATTATGAATTTCACATGATAGATTGTTGGTGTTTTAGTGTACAGAAAGGAATGTACTGAATTAATAGCGCACTACTGCCATAACTCACACTTGACAATTTATCTTTTTATGATGACTAACATTAGAGATGAACATGTATATTATGATTAATCGGGCCAAGAAGGAGAATGTTAGAAATATTATGAGTCAAAGTATGAGTTATGGCAGTAGTGCACTATTAATTCAGTACATTCCCTTCCGTATTCTACAACACCAACAATCCATCATATAAAATTCATAATATATGAAACATAATGGTCGACATAATGTCTTACAAAGACTTCCTTGTCAAAATTCATAATGTGTATACAACCATAAAATAAAGAGGAAACGTAATGTATGTCATAAACACATAGGTGAGCTCAGAGTGTCACACATCAACAATCTTTAATACAACCAAGGCCCATACTTTCAACATGTTCTTTAAATAGCTTTGGTTGTAACCCTTTCGTCAAAGGGTCTTCCATCATGTGTTCGGTTCTGATGAGCATAATTGACACTCTCTGTTTCTGAACCTCCTCTTTAATGGAAAAATACTTTAACTCTATATGTTTAGCACCTTTAGAGTATCTCTCGTTCTTAGAGAAGAATACTGATGTAGAATTATCACATTAAATTTTCAGCAACATGCTAATGGTGTCGACAATCGCAAGCCCGAAAATAAAGTTCTATAGCCATAATGCATGAGTTGTAGCTTCAAAACATGCCACAAATTCTGCCTCCATAGTGGATAGAGCAACGATAGTCTGTTTTGCACTTTTCCATGATATGGCTCCTTGGGGAAACATAAACAAGTAGCCAAAGATTGACTTTCTACTTTCAAGACATCCATCAACCAAAATCCGAATCTGTATATCCAATTATTTCTAATTCATTGGACCATTTATACATGAGCATGTGATCCTTCGTGCCTTGAAGGTATCTTAAAACTTTCTTTGCAGCTTTCCAATGTTCCATTCCTGGATTACTTTGATATCTTCCCAACATCCTGACAACAAAATTGATATCCGGCCGAGTACAGGTTTGAGCATACATTAAGCTGCCCACAACAGAGGCATATAGAATTGACTCCATCTATTTTTCGTTCAATATCATTCTTTGGACATTGCATGACACTAAATTTATCACCTTTCTGTATAGGGGCAACCCCAGGTGAGCATTTACTTATATTAAATCTCTCTTGAATTTTCTCAATATATTCTTTCTGAGATAGTCCGAACAATCCTTGTGATCGATCACAAAATATTTCTACTCCAATCACATAGGGCGCATTTCCCATATCTTTCATTTCAAAATTCTTTGAGAGAAAATCTTTAGTCTCACGTAATATACTCAATTCATTTGCAGCAAGTAAGATGTCGTCAACATAAAGAACTAAGAAAACAAACTTACTCCCACTTATCTTCTGGTAAATACACCGATCAATAATGGTTTCCTTAAATCCAAAAGATATAATAATGGTATTGAACTTGATATACCATTGTCGGGATGCTTGCTTAACTCCATATATTGACCTATTGAGTTTACACACTAATTTTCTTTCACTTTCCATGGAAAAACTTTCAGGTTGATCCATATAAACTTCTTTCTCAAGGTCACCATTAAGAAAGACTGTTTTCATATCCATTTGATGTACATCTAAATCATAATGAGCCACCAATGCCATAATTATCCTTACTGTATCCTTTTTCGAGACAGGTGAAAATGTCTCTTTATAATCAATGTCATCTTTCTGAGTATAACCCTTGGCAACAAGTCTAGCTTTATATCGTTTGATATTACCATTAGAGTCACATTTTGTCTTAAAGACCCACTTACAACCGACTCTTTTGGAAACTTCAGGTAATTCGACGAGATCCCATACATCATTATGATCCATGAATTTTAGCTCTTCTTTCATAGCTTCAATCCATTTATCGGATTCTATACTATCTATGGCTTGTGAAAATGAAATTGGTACTTTATTGATTCCAATGTCATAATCTGACTCCTAAAGGTAAACCACATAATCATTTGAAATAGTTGGCCTACATTCCCTTTGGGATCTTCTTAATTCTATTTCATATGGTTCTTGTGCATTAACATTCTGCAAGTTAGCATCTGGTGGGAGTACTTCTTTGTTCAAATATTGTTCAATGTTGTCATCTTGTTCTACAATAACTAGAACAACATTGGGAAATTTAGTTGATGTAGTAACAATTATAAGCAATGAAACTTTTACCACGGTCTCCTTTATTTCCACAATTTTCGTTTTAGAACTCCCATTAACTTCGCCATTCTCAATGAATCTTGCATTACCAGTTTCCTTAATTCTCGGACTATGGTTTGGACAATAAAATACATACTCTTTGGACTTTTCATGATAATCAATAAAGTATCCACTAATCATTCGAGATTATAACTTCTGTTCATGTGGATTATAAATCCTTGCTTCAGTTGGACAACCCCAAACATGCAAGTGCCTTAAGCTAGGTTTCCTTTCTGTCCACAATTCAAAAAGAGTATTTTGAACTGCCTTACTAGAAGTCCTATTCAGCAAGTAGGTCGCAATTTTAAGCGCATAAGTCCATATATTTTTGGGTAATGAGGAGTTACTCATCATACTCCTGACCATATCTATTAATATCTGGTTACGCCTTTATACCACACCATTTTGTTGTGGTGTGCCCGACATAGTATACTGTGCACATATGTCATGCTCTTAGAGGAAATTTGCAAATAGACCTAGACATTGTCCTGATTCATTATATTTACTGTAATATTCACCACCTTTATCTGACCTTACAATTTTCACCTTTTTATCTAATTTCCTCTCAACCTCCTTAATAAATATCTCTAGGAGTGTAACCATAACGTGAAAAATTATCAATAAGGTAATGAAATATTTTCTCCATTAAAAGTTGGAGTGTCCATAGGTCCACAAATATCAGTATGTATAATCTCTAGAAGCTGGGTGCTTCTTGTGGCATCTTTCTTATTATGTTTGGTTTCCTTTCTCTCAATGCAGTCCACACATAATTCAAGATCAGTAAAATCTAAATTTGGAAAAATATCATTCTTCACCAATGTGATTATTCTTTCTTTGGATACATGACCCAATCTTCTATGCCACAGGAAAACAGAATTCTCATTCTCCATGTTACGCTTAAATCCAACATTATAAACAACATTAAGCGGTGATTCAGCATAAGACTCATTCAATTTCAATCTATATAAATCATCAATCAGAATACTAGAACCAACAACATCAATATTCGTATATAAATTGGAATAACTAGATCCAAATATAAGTTTAAAACCATTAACATCCAACATAGAAATTAAAATAAGGTTCTAGATAATGAAGGCGCATAAAGGGTGCGTAATAGGTCTAAATGATACCCACTATCTAAGACCAGACGATAAGTCTTTATGCCTTCAATTGAAGATTTCTTTCTGTTTCCCATAAAGAGAAAACGATCTTCATTTGGATTTATAGTTTGGATCATAATGAATCCCTGCAAGTTGTTGGAAACATGAGTTATATCACCAGAATTAAGCCACCAAGTATTATTAGGAACTTCAATTAAATTTGATTCGAAACTTACAAAAGATTGATACTTACCCTTCTTTTCGAACCAAGCTATACGTTTGGGACATTCAACTTGATAGTGCCCTGACTTCTTACAAAAGTGGCCTAATGTCCTTTCGTTCCTTCTTTTCTTTCTCTTGCCCATCTTGCACAAGTGCTTTCTTTTTCTTGAAGTGTCTTGATCTGGCTTTCAATCCTTTCCCAACTTTCTAACCCACGAGATTAATAGAGTGACTCGCATGGTTCTTTAAACGCCCTTCTTCCTAAACGAGCATACTGGCCATTTCATTAACATTCCACTTGTCCTTAATAATGTTATAGTTAATTTGAAATAGTCATATTCAGAAGGCAGCAAGCTCAGAATAAATTGAACCAAGAATAAGTCCTCAACAGTAAGTCCCAAGGTCTTAAATTTTGCAGCAAAATTAGTCATCTCAATTGTGCTTTTGCATAGTTCGCGACCCATCAAACTTCATGGTCGTGAATTGTGCCACAACAGTACCAGCAAGTGACTTGTCCGCTGAACGGAAGCATTCTTCCATAAAATTCATATATTCTTTTGCACTTTCTGTTTGTGGAATGGTTGACTTGACGTTGTTGGCAATAGTCATCTTATTGAACATAAGACTTAACCTGTTATTTCGATTCCATGCCTTATGGTGAGATTTCTTTTCCTCACTACTAGTTTCAGTAATAACAGTGGGTTCAATCTCAAGGAGTGCCAAGTCAAGATCTATAACACCTAAGTGAAAGTTGACTTGTTCACACCATTCTGAGAAATTCTCACCAGCAAACATAGTAACAGATGAAGCTTGTGAATTCATGGAAAAAACTGCAATTAAAATAACATAGACAAAAGCTCATGAATAATCATAAATGCGATTCAAATAAAATCATACAAGCACAAAGTAGCACTCCTTTGGGTAGATACTACAATATACTCATCATAAGCAAATATCAAAACATAAGTAGGCAATTAAATATTTTTAATTAAATATATCCGTCATCTTTGGATAGACAAAATATATTTAACCAAAATATTAATATACCTTATAATGCCACTAACTATAGAATATGACTCACCTTTGGGTAAATCCTTTATTTCTAATTATCAGTGACATCAATTCATCCATCTTATATCATTAATTGGTATTTTATAAACATAATGGGTGAATGACAATTTTATGCATGCTATCACATTCTAGTTTAGCCACTTTGGTGACTAACAAACTATGACATAATGTGTGAAAATAACTAACCGATCAATCTCATATTATAATCACAATATATTGTATCAATAAAAATTACAATTAAGTATATATAAGACAATACAATCCATACTTCAAATATACATATTGCAATTTTTTTTTTAAACATGAACAATGCAAATCTTCATATTAATGCCTATATAAAAAATTTATTCGGCAGCAGCGAAAATCATGTCATTATACATACCGCATTATTCATAACATAAATAATGCATATTTTTCGTACTCTTAATAAAATATCAGTGTACTCGTGATCATAAATAATTCTAAAATCAATATCTATACATAATTCCAAACTATAAGTAATAATGAAATCGGCGACTTTTTATCAAAATATTAAAACTCGTATAGGTATGAACAACAATAAGATTTAACACATGCACCATTATTTCAAAACTTCAGGACCATAGGCATACTAAAGGCACATTCTCAAATATATAGAAACAGTAATAATGCAGTCTTTTGGACGATACATTTCGTACATCAAGTAATTTGCAATCCAAATTAACTTATGACTTTTCTCAACCGAATAAATAAATAAATATATATTAATCATGCAATTGTATACACATAAAGGTCAAGTCAGTATGCAATCCCATCAATAATATGAAAACTTATGAATGAATTGAAAATCTAAATCGATGGCTTTTACGCGTATAATAATGGCAAAACCGCAACCCAATGTTTCCAATAGTCTTCATCGAATTAACAAAATTTTCGAAAACTTTGGTTGAAAACAAATTGAAAATTTTCAATCGTAGATTCTCAATTAAATTTTTTAAAAAACCCTAACTTTTCAAGATTGAGAATTGATTTACGAGCATACATGGAAAAACATGAATTTCCAAACACAAAGCTCTCATACCACATGTTAGTTTGCACATAATGTATCATGTTCATAAATCATAAAATAGGAACATGATAAAGGACATTGGGAATACATGATTTTGACGTATACATAAGAGATAGAGACATCCCCAAAAACGATGATGAGGGTTTAACAGTGGGGTAGTTTATTTCTCTAAGCCTTATTTTCTTAATATGTATTCTGATGGAGAGAATAACATTAGGGTTGAAGGGGAGAGATGACCATCCCTAAACATGAACAATGCAAATCTTCATATTAATGCCATATCATGGAAAAGTGCAAAATAGACTATCATTGCTTCATCCACTATGGAGGCAGAATTTGTCGCATGTTTTGAAGCCACAACTCATGCATTATGGCTGCGGAAAATTATTTCCGGGCTTGCGGTTGTCGACATCATTAGCAGGCCGCTGAAAATTTACTGTGATAATTCTGTAGCAGTATTCTTCTTTAAGAACGAGAGATACTCTAAAGATGTCAACATATAGGGTTAAAGTTAAAGTATTTTTCTGTTAAAGAGGAGGTTCAGAAACAGAGTGTCAATTATGCACATCAGAACCGAACACATGATGACAGACCCTTTGATGAAAAGGTTACAACCAAAGCTATTTAAAGAACATGTTGAAAGTATGGGCCTTGGGTGTATTAAAGATTATTGATGTGTGACGCTCTGAGCTCACCTATGTGTTTTTGGCGTACATTATGTTTCTTTGTTATTTTATGGTTGTATACACATTATGAATTTTGACAAGGAAGTCTTTATAAGACATTATGTGGACTATTATGTTTCCTGTATTATGAATGTTATATGATGGATTGTTGGTTTTGTAGAATATGGAAGAGAATGTACTGAATTAATAACGCACCGCCACCATAACTCACACTTGACAATTTATCTTTTTACGATGACTAACATTAGAGATGAACATGTGTATTATAATTAATCGGGCCAAGTGGGAGAATGTTAGAAATATTAAGAGTCAATTATAATATTAAAAGGACTTTATTATAATTATAATATTAAGACTCTTATTATTACCCATCAAACATTATATGGCCCAATTAATTACTTATGCATTTGATCTCAATCAATGATTTGGTATATGTTGGACGTACCAGATTATAAATTATGAAATGTATATATTATGGATGACCCTCTCTCCCCTTCAACTCTAATGTCATTCTCTTCATCAGAATACATATAAAGAAAAGAATGCTTAAAGAGAGAAACTATCCCAACACAGTTGCTGACAAGATGACTGTTGTTAACCCCTCAACATCGTTTTGAAGTATGTCTTTATCTCTTATGTACATGTAAAAATCATGTATTACCAAGATCCTTGATCATGTTCCTATTTTATGATTTATGAACATCATACATAAACTAGCAAACCCCTCACCAATTCTAATGGCTTTATGAAATTTTCGTTGTTATTATCATTTTTTCTCTTAATAACGTAAGGTATTATGAGCTAGCATGATTTCTTCTTTTATATCGAAAAAGGATTTAGATTAATTACTTTAATCAATTGGATCAGCAACTTTTGAAAATAAGGAAAGAAAACAAGTGGTTGATATTTATTGAAGCATGTGATCAGAAACCTAGCTTGCTAATTGGAATTAAGAATCCTGATGAAGTCAGCGAAATAATGGAAATTTCGCTGCTTAAATAATAATAAGGAAGAGTAGACAATTCAACAACCAACTCAGTCAAAACATAGGTCAATTTAATGGGCATGCGTAAAGATAAAATAATAATACTGATGTTTTATGTGAAACGTTGCAAATAAATAAATGGTTATATTTATCTCATTTAACATGACAAAAACAATTTTTTTACACACACAAAAGAGGGGTGGATCCCACCACTCTTTTTTCTTTTTTCTCTTATGTGTGAATCTCACTTATAATTTTATTTCTATAATATGAGATAATTATTTTCCTACAACATAAAAAAATATTTCTCAAAAATAAATTTGACGGGCCACCCAAATGGTAATGAAGTCTGAAAACTGTATCATATCATACATTATATATGCATATTTATTTTGGGAAAAATATTTTTGTTTTTGTTGTAATTTTTTCTGCTTTACTAATATAAAAGTGAATAAGTTCTATTATATTTTACTAATTTTTTTCTTTTATTATAATGGAACTCACTCAATTTTATATGAATGTGACAAAATATTTCTTTTTTCAGAAAAAAAAAATTTCTTTTTCTATTTATTTTATTATATTCTGCAGACAAGTGTGTTTTTACTTCCTTTGTTAAATTAAAAAGTTTGACCATTTTCTTCATTCTAATAATAATAATAATTAAGAATTAAGAATTAATATAACTTAAAAAGAAAATAAGTAACCTTTAAGCGAATCCTTCAAATTAACACAAAAGAAAATAATTCAAATATTCTTCTTGGCTTAGAGAAAGTAGCTAGCCTTGCGATCAATGTTGTTAAGATCGAGATCTTAAGTAAAATCGGATGGGGATTAAAAAATCGTAAAACGTAAAATCGTAATATAAGAAAATCGTAAAACGTAAAAACGTTTGGAATATTAGTAAAATCGTTTTGATGAAAAAAAATCGTAAAAACGTAAAATCGTAGTAATAAATCGAGATTTTAACAACAATGCTTGCGATATTGTGATAAATACCTTCCTATTGTTGATCCAAACTTCGTTAAACATTTTAACTAAGCGAATCCTTTAGGTGGTGTTTGGTTGAGGAGAAATTATTTTTTACTGGGGAAGTATGATTAATAGGACTATGCTGGGAAAGGAATTTTGGTAGAAAAATTAAAAAAAAGTTGTTTGGTTGGCCAAAATTTTACCGGGAAAATTGGGTAGAATTTTATAAGTTTATGTTTGGTTGAAGATAAAATATTGATGGGGAAATGGATTAAAATTACCAAATTAACCCCTTTATAATTTCTGAATATCAAGATATCTCTCCTCCCTCAACCATATCTCTGTCTGTACCTCACCAAATCGGCCGCTTGTGTTGAAACCAGCAACTTGTGCTTCGAAATGGAACGTGATACACAAATGGAACCAGCAACAATAAGCCTTGTCTGTTCACGAGACTCTTCTTTGACACATCTGGGTTTCATGGGTCGTAACGAGGTTTCGATTTCAACCGTGTGTGTTTCAGATCATCATCAAAGAAGATTGTGATATTTACCGCAAATACTAGCGCGATCAGTGATGTCTTCTGCAACCCACAAATGGAATATGATGCTTGTCACACAGCTTCGGATGGGTAGTCCACAGATATTTTGCTCACATGTGGTCACATAGGAGGGGTATTATTGTCAGCATTTTCTTCCCCTTTTTCCATTTATCCGGTTTCTGAACAAATACCACCTTCTCAAATGGATTCTCAACAGTGTATTATCCCATTTTTTACATGCAATCCAATTTAGCTAGGCATCTGTGATTGATGGATAAAATTGAAGATTTCCTTCTACCAAACGTGGAGAAATCACAATGCCACCTCCACTTCCCTAGGATAATTTTGAGAAACCCTAAACCAAACACTTTAGGGAGAAGCTTGATGTGTTTGCATTTTTTTTAGAGAAACTTTGCACAAAATATAAAATAAGGGAAAAATATCTATCATTTAAAATGATGGTCCTTTTAGATGAATGTAATGCATTTTTTTAAATTTGAAATTATAAATTTTTTTCCTCCA